ACTTCCTGTTCCTAGGGAGTCTTCTGTCCCCTTGGCCACTCTACTTCTGCTCCCTCAGATCAGCAGCTCAATGGSCTCCTTCACTTCCCACTTTGATTGGCAGGTTTTTTTTTTTTTGTTTTTTGTTTTTTTTTTTTCTGTTCTGTGCTGCTCAAGAATGGGAAAATCCAAGTAACAAGACTGGAAATAAGTGTCATGCTCTGAAAGTTTAGTGAAATAAAGTTCTAGGCCAAAAAGAAGAATGGCTAAGGATATCTACTTCTTTTTGTGACTCTCTTTGGACCCAATTTTTAATTCGGAGTGGTTGCTCTGCTCGCAAGTCGGCTTTGAACCTCTGGTTGTGGTAATATAAGAATAAGGGGCCACTCAGGAATCCTTCCCACTTGAGATGTATTTCTTTCCTACATAGCCCCTCCAGGCTCTCTCTCCCTTCTTCCTACCATCTTCTCAGAATAAACGAAGAACTCTATTCTTTTAAAACAACTGGGCATAAGAAAACATCTCTCTAGAATGTGGTAGCCTGTAGCATTGTTTAGCAATGAATCAGCTCCACCACATTCTAGAGAGTTTTTTGGTAACTGTTTAGCAACTCTGCTCCCAGCCTCCTGTTAGGAGCCAGGCTGTGCATCCTGATCAAGGGATCAGTGCCATGTCTCATGCTACAGGACGGTTTCCAGCCCTCATTCTCAGCGGGTCCTCAGGGGTTGGAGAAGCATTCCACATGCACATGGCTGTGGTTTTAGCATCTTGCACTCATCACACTATTTAGGAAGACAGATTTTATTATGCAGCAAAATTGCTGCTCTAGGGTAAACTTTGACACAAAGCAATTGTGTACTTGACTGAATCAGCTAAAACAAAATAAGAGCACAGAAAATACGCCGGAGATAGATTTCAGACTTTTGTTTTAAAAACAGCTACTGTCAAGAGAAGTACTTGGATGTGCAATTATAATAAATGACCTTCGCTCGAGAACAAACTTGCCTTTCTAAGGAAAAGCAAAATAGTGAAAATCAGAACACTCAAATATTATGAAAGTTTCTAGCACATTCTTTTACTTGACAACCAGATAAGAATAGAGTAGTTTGTCTCTATGYATTTTAACCATCATGCAATGTTTGAACATTTAATAAAATGTTAGATTTTTTAATTATGTTGGTCAGACTTGTACCAGTTTTACATTTTGAAGTTGAATGTTGCTTTGGGCATCTCAGCATCCACAACATTTAGTAGTACTTGAAATGTGCACAATGCAAGGTGAGACTGTGCAAACCCTAAGGAGATACAAAGATAAATCTGGGTTGCAGACTCTCCAGAGCCATGTCCTTAGCATTCTATAAAGAGGTCTGGAAGACACCGGATTCTGGAGCTCATTGTGTGTGATAGCTCCACTTTTGATTCACTAAGTTTTTATTGAGGTGTTCTTTAAACTTTCACACTCCTGAAGGATAATGAGGCAGATAGGACTGGTTCTTGCCTTCAAGACAGTGTAGCTGGGAGGTAAAACTAATTTCATCTTGTAGGATTAAGCATTTATGTGTGTACCGAAAATTATSTTATGTGTCCAATATACAGGGGCATAGAGGAGAAGGGAGGTGATACGGAAAAGCGACGGAGGTTCCAGGAAAATGAAGGGCTCAGGAAAACTTCACAGGTGGAATGGTTCTTGATATTGACTTTGAATGAAGCAGAATTTTTATAGGGGTCAGTGATGGAGGTCAGAGGGGAAAAAGGTGTGTATAAAGAAGATGGAAGGTGGGAGGGCAATAAAGAAATAAGATAACTCTGGAACCTTCACTTTATGTTGGAGTTGTGATGGAGGCAGATTGGAGAGATTATTGGGTGTCTTGACAAAGTACACTTATGATGTAATAAAGGTCTATTGTGCAGTACCAAAAACCAATTTATTTCTTGTTTATTTCAGTTCATTACAGGGATCTTGAGGGTAGATATCGATAGGGTGACCCAGGGAACTAGGCCTTTTCTTTATTCCATTCAGTAGGTCAACTCTTAAGAGAATAAATGAGAGCATGGAGGATTGTGTGTGAAGAATTTCTATTGGGTAGGCTTGTGGGTGTGTTATATTAGTACCCTCTACCTCCCATTGATCAGAACTCAGTCATAGGGTCACACTTACCTGCAAGGGAGTGTGGGAAATGTAGTATAGCTCTGTGAGAGAAAAAGGAAGTAGATTTTGGTGTGCATACACCAACTAGTACACCCCACTACATTGACTTTTTAGCCTGAGCAGGTTGAACCTTATCCTGAAGGCAGTTGTGAGTCTGAAGCTAAGCAGGAATARGGGGTGTGCTCACTGGTAATGGAAGCTCCTTTAAGGCGAATGATTTCTGTGTATTATCTTCATTGCTATATTCCCAACATATTAGAAAGAAAAATTTGACAAGAAATATTTGACAAGATAATGGAATGGTGGGAAGATATTGGAAAAGAGTCCTGGACATATGGAACATTCCAGGAGGGATTACTGGAAGAGAGTGGAGTCAGACAAGCCAATCAGAGAGCTCTTGTGACAATCTCACAGAGCCTGAGTTAGTGTGGTTACAGTAGGAATTTGTTCATTTTTAGAACSAGAAATGTTTACTCCTGTTATTTTAACCCTCTGGGTTCACAGCATAGCCACAGACTGTCCTTTAACCAGAGTCCCTGCTGAGTTGAAATCATAGAGGCAGGTTGTAAGCTGTGACTGTGTTCCTAGGAAGGGCTTGCACTTTCTTTGGAGGCATTAATTGGAATGCTGCCTCGGGATTTGGGCTGTGCCACAATACTGCAACCCAAACAAAATAAAACTTGACTAAACCAGCAAACCCATATTGGAGTTCAAGTTACTTTAACGACTCTTGGGAAACACAAACTGCAGTTGTATTATGTATGCAAAATTTGCTCTCTTTGACCTCATGGTAAGGAGAATTACTGGAGTACACATGTTCTTTTGCCAGCTTTCCAAAGTGTTGGATAAGTTCACTCTTTTGCAATTATGCAATGTTTTTCAAATTTTAATTTTAAAATATGCTTGAAAAATAGATGCTGATCCAACAAGAACAGAATACATGGGTGAAAAGAAAGTGTTCTCTGTACACCTAAGAGAAACCAGCACACAGGCAAGCTTGTGTTGCTGGAAGCTTCAGGATTTAGGAAGTTGCTTGCAGATGAATTTCTTTGAAATTAAAAGTGAAGGGCAGCACCATCCTGTCCTCCCTCTGGATATGACTTTTGTGTTTTATGTATAAGTTTGAGCCCATCTCAGGGGCTTGCCCWGATTCAGGTCACCCACCTCTGAAGTCTGATGACAGGCCCTTAACTTTAGGATCATGTAGGGTTGAGTGAGAAATCTCAGAATAACTTGGGATTTGGGGGAGACTTTTAATGACTTCTTGCTGATCGGGAAATAATGTAAAAACAACAGATGAGCTTTTTGTGGTATTTTCACATGTTCTCTATTGGTTTGGGGAAGAATCCAACATTAAAGAGGTTTCAAAATAACACATATTTAAAAAGACATATAACATGCCCTCTCTTTTTTATTCCTCACCACCAAAAAATAAACTAGTAATTAAAATAGCAAAAGCGGAAACAGAGGTGACAGCAGTTTGCCAGGATGAAAATGAATAGGATCCCCAAGGCCAAAGCTAATGCCTGCTACTCATGCAGAAGGGGTGAGGAAATGTCTAACGTTGGGTCGTTCCCTTGATGGACCTAAGGCTCTTTGAGCCTCAAGTTCTTCTTTTCCTGAGGTCCCCCGAGATATAAATTATCTACTCATGACAATGGACACCTGAAAGTCCACTAGTTTGATTTCTAGCTCAAATCCTGGACAAGCCAATCCACTGAAATTCTATTAGTCCTGTAATTTGTTTACCAAATTTTCATATTTTCTTAAAAAAAGAAAACTTATAAATGAAGTTCATAGTAATTCGTATTGCAAGGAATAGGTGTCAATCAGCCTTGCAGGTTTGTTATATATAAATTAACTGGAAAGTATTTTTTTTCTCTGCCCCAGCTTTCTGAATAAACAGTTAAAATTTGCTAAGGCTGGAAAGCATGTTCTCCTCTAAAGGACAAGAAGGGCATAAGGATGCATCTTGCATTCCAGAGAGAGAAGAGATACTTCTGGGCAGAGAAAGCAGGGAAGCCAAGGATAAGGAAGGGCTGTCAGAAGTAAAGGGTCTGAGAAACAGAAAGGGTCAACAATGAGAATGAGAAAGTAGGAAAAAATATTCAAAGGTTCGAAAAGTTCTTTCATGGGCCTCTAAGGCTCTTTCCATTCATCCAATATTAATCATCATAACCTTACCATCAGTTAATGGAAACAGACTTGATTAGCTGGAATCCAGGGAGATGGTTCTACTAAACAATGTTCAGAGCCATCAATTTTCAGCAGATTGGCCACATCTTCTAGTTGGACCCTCAGTGGGCCATCCTGGTGACACCTTCAAGCTGTGGCAGACAGTGAGGTCTTCCTGCAGGAAGATGTCTGCAGGAACTGCAGAAAGTTGGGAGTCAGAAAGAGGAGGAAAAGGCTCAATAAATACAGAGGGTTCCTTTGCTTGCAGGGGAATGAGTGGTAAGAAGGGTACTGACCTTTAGGGTGGCCCACTCACCTTGGTTTGCATGAAATTTTCCTGGTTTTAAGACTGAAAGTCTCCAATTCTAGGAAAACTGAGATGGTTTGTTTGTTAGACCCACCAGAAGCTGGTCTTGAGAAGGGAAAAAATGAAGAAAGGTGGTAGTGGGTGGGGCTGGGGGAGGTGATGCCATTTGAAATCATCTCTTGGGAGGCAGTCTTTTTGTATCTATAGTTCATAAAGCCTATGGAGAAGATAAAAAGGATGCTTGGGAGGAATTATATGGACCTGAGCAGTCACCCCAGGTACCCAATAATAGGGAAGGGCCTTAGGCTTGCTCCAGATATCTTGGTTGTACAATCTATATGCACTGACTTTTCTAAATGTGCTTTTTTTTTTCTCTTTCTCTTTTCTTAGGGAGGCAGGACACAGTGCGTGAGAGAAGTCTGTCCCATTCTCTCTTGTCCCCAGCACCTTAGTCACACACCCCCAGGACAGTGCTGCCCCAAATGTTTGGGTGAGTGACTATTTTCAGGTCAAAAAACAATGCAAATTTTTTCCAGAGTTTCGACTGAGTATTGATACAGATTGCTATTTGGGGTTATTGGGGTTCTGAAGTTGTCTTGTTCATGGTTTGTTAGAGTCAATGGCTCCTTCTAATCTCCTGAGTAGAAGGTGTAAACAGGGGTTGGCTCTCATCTGAGGCTGCCAAAGAGGCTGCTCTTATCTTTCCTTATATCTGGAACCCAGTACACCAGACCACCTGGGACATTGTCCCATGTGGTGAGAACAGTACTGAAGAAGCCCTCTTTAATTGGGCCTTATGATTATTGGTAGGAACATACTTTAAGAACATTTGAAGTAAATGTATGGAAGAATGTAGACTGGTGTTGTCTGCAGAAGCCAAAGCTCAGGGGAGGATAGCGTGCCAGAAAATTAGAGATTTGGAAGAGAAAAATGAATAATAGCAAAAAGGAGAAAGTTCAAGCACTTTCTTATTGAGCATTTGGTGTGTACCAATCTAGGCAACATACGAGGGACATTTTATGTGCTTTTYCCTCATTTAATCTTTCCAAGAAGCTGTGAAATATAGTTTCTAAAAATAGAACTCCTGTGTGTCATGTGGGAGCTGTTATCAATTTTATTGGACAGAGAAGGAAGTATTCCTTTAGAATCTCTAGGGATCCTTGGGGGGGCGGCTAACTTTGTCCCTAATCACCTCTGGGTTTGTGTTCATGTTCCTGATGTTCCTCTTGATCTCACTTCCGTTTTCTTTTTTATAAATTTTTTATACCATTTTTTCTTTCAGAGACCCCCGCCCCCATCCCCAGTTTTCTCACATCTTATGATGCCATTGAATCAAAGATTGTTTAACATATTTTTTTGAGGTTTGAATCCAACAAGGGTGATTATTCAAAGAATAATCCATAAAGAATCATGAGMACACCATGAAATGAAATATTAAGTCCCCTTGTTCTAAAAAGGTCTTAATTATTTTGATTTTGGGAAAATTTCACTGATTGTCTTTTCTATTTGGGCCCCAGTCTCTTGTTAGTTACCATTCACATCCTCTCCTTGAGTCTTCTTTCTTTCATAATTTGCTTTCTCCAACTCCAAAGYCTCCTGATGATTTCTATCATTCACAGATTATTAGAGCCATACCCCAAAGTCTATTCTCTTTTTATAATCAAATTGGCAAATGGAGGTMTTTTATTAAACCAAGATAGTTTTCTCCTTTTGAGGGATTCCACTGTAATTTTATCTAACAACATTTACTTGTCTGATACGTGCGTAAACACTTTTGGAGTAAATATGAAATGATTAGAAGAACAAAAAGAACTGTTTAGACACACCCAATAACAGGCATTTCCATATGCATGTGTGCCTTCTGGGTTGCCAATGTATATTTGTGCTCCTGGAGTTAAATTAGCTAGTTCAGTGTGATAGAAGTCACCTGGCTGAGGGTCATGGCAGAAGTACTGTTCGAGCTAAGCAGAAAAACCATCACAAAGGAAGTGGTATTTGGACCAGGCAGGCCTCAAAGATAAGTAGGCTTGATTAAGGCTTTGAAGCTGATTCTTTGGGCATGCTAAGTCAACTTAGAAGTTTCCCACATGAGCAATGGCTGTTGTATTGAATGCAGACTTTTCTGATCATTTGTGGTTTTAAGATGGACTACAAAAGGAACAGTGAGTTTTGGGAAACTTGAAAAATCACAATTCCCTCAAATGAGAGCTTTTTTGGTTAGGCTAAACCACAGTGGAATGATGTGGCAATGGCTTAAATCAGGCTGTCCAAGGAGACACAGAACCACTCCCTGGAATGTTTTATCTTAAGTTGGGCCGTGATGAATTTGGGATTAAGGTAAGATTTCGTGTTCTTTGATGGTGAACTGAAACATATACACACAACAAAAGACAGAAGGAAAAAAGTAAACAGGAGGATGCTTTGTAAATGTTGAAATCTTCGTCTAATTATTTGACTGGTTGGGTATTGATTTGCTCTTATATTTTCCCCTGACCAGGATTTCTGCACATGATATATCTCTACCTCTTGCATAACAACATTCTTTTCCTTGATTTTTCTCAGTTTTAATGAGTGGTCTTGTCAGAGATCAGCATATACAGAGTAGCACCTAGTGCTCATCTCAGGGTGACCCAACCCATATATTTGAATTAGATCACCATTAATAATAATAATTGTTAACACTGCCATTTATTGGRTATATTAATGAGTGCCAGGCACTGTGCTAAGAGCTTTATATTCATAGTTAGAGGTTAAATTTATATTTTAGTGAGGAATAATTTAAGCCATTGGTTTTGTTTGTTCAGGAGGATGGAAACATTGAAGAATGTGTTTGTGTAATCAGTTGACAGATTGACCCATCAATAGATCCATTCACTCATTCATCCAGCCATCYGTCCACCTGTTCAACAATATTGAGCACAGTAGATAGTGCAACCAGCAGTCTGTGGGAAAAGAGGAAGGGCCACTCGATCTAAGAGATAGTGGACCTCTGGGGAGGGAACATGGACCTCATCCATGAAAAAGATGCATTTTGATTGGTAGAGATGAAAGCTTCTTCACAAAGCATTGTATCTAGTCTTTTGCCTTTTGCTAAAGAGGATTTGCGGTTACTTACAAAATACCTGAAGCACACATAGAGAAAAGATAGGCAAAAGACAAGTCTCGTGATTAAAATTTTAAAAATTCTTCAACTGAAGCAGATCTATTTTTACTTCTTAATGGACAGAAATATATCTGGTGGATAGTTTAAAAAGAGAATAATGCTTACATTTTATCATCCTTTGTGCACTAAACACAAATATAAAACTTTCCAGGGATATTTTTTATAATTTCCTAAAATTAAGGTGTGTTTTGACAGAAGGAATTATAATGGGATGGGCCAAATCCATCCATACATAGCTTTCTGACTTTTTTTTTTTTTTTTTTGGCTAACTCTGGAGGAGTTCTCTGGAGGAATATTTAAGGAAAAGATGAATTTTGTATTTTGAAGGCAACCCTCTCATTTAATGTAAAAGTTCTCAGGAAGTTCAAGGGACTCGTGACTTCTGTGTGCACATTAAGTATGCCTGTGTTAATTGGAATATTGGCAATGCAATGATTATACTAAATTTTGTCTAACTGTGAAAGAGTTTTCATTGTATACTTTAGTATGAGCACTGCAGATGGAAGTGGTAATATGACACAGTGGTGTTGTTGATGCCATTTTATTAGTGATGTTAGTGAGGACAGGAGAAATTACACTCAAGGTCATAAGGGAGTCCATATGTGGGGACCTGAATTATAATGCACTAGTCATCTTTTGAAGGCTAACACATTTACTTCTCATAGTGAGAACCAAACTAATTATTTAGCTGTTCTGCATTATACTTTAGCATCTTGGCCTTTGGGTTGACTCTCATAACAAGCTGGCTTTTTTTTTTTTTTTTAAATTTTAAACTCCCACTAATGGTATTTTCAACAAAACTGATTCTGAGAATAGTACTTAGTATGTATTTATGTATGCATTTTCAGCATTTTATTGGACTGGCTGATAGAGATTGCTACTAATCARTTTTTTTAATAAAGAGGAAAGAGGACTGTGAATTTAAATTTGATGAGTGAATGCGAATTGTTGGTTTCTTAGTCTTAAATTAAAGTAACATTTTGGCGATCATCTTGATGTGCTTTAGGGAATAGATACTCAAATGTTGAAAGAAAGGAGGAATTGGATTTTACTCCTTATTTGGGATTGCTTTTGGGGTCCTTTTCACTGTCAGTCCAATCTTCATATCAGGGAGAAACCGAAGTAATTCTGCAGAGACACTRTGCCCGTGAAGGTTGGGACACTTGGCCTGTGGAGGTTGAGTCCTGCCTCTGTGCACCTTTTGATTAAGATTTGCCTTTTATGCCTTTGTGTCCTTTCTTAACTGAGAGTCTGTGATAATCTGTTCAGACTGCTACAGTAACCTCCCACCAGCTGGGTAGCTTTCAAGCAGCAGAAATATTTTTACCACAGTTCTGCAGGCTGGGAAGTCCAAGATCAAGGAGCCCACAGATTGTGTGTYTGGTAAGGGCCCAATTTTTGGCTCATAATTGATGCCTTTTGGTGTGTCCTCACACGGTAGAAAGGGTAAGGGGTCCTTCTTAGGCTTCTTTTATAAGGGTACTAATGCCATTCATGACCTCATCATCTCTCAAAAGCCCCACCTCTGGATACCAGCACATTGTGCTTGGGTTTCAAGATTTGAGTTTTGGGGGGACATGAATGTTTAGACCCTAACAGGTGCTATTTCTTTAGTTATTTTTGCTAGTTCTAGTCCTTGAGATATCTTGACTGTGTCCACATCTGTCTACCCTCCTGCTAATATCTACTTGGGGGGATAGTTTTACTTGTTCTTTAAGAAGTAGCTCAGGCATCGCATCCTCCAAGAAGTCTTATGTGAGCTCCCTTTTCCCACAGTCCCCATGTTGGCTTCCTTCTAGAACTTACCATGTTGTTGGAATGAAATAATATTTTGTGTGTTCTGCTTCCTAGTGGACTGTCAGCCCAATGAGGGAAGCTTATATCTAAGACATCTTGGTTCTCGATGAAGAACATGTAATAATGATTTGTCAGACTTGCCAGGTTCATTGTGGAATCAGACTTTTAAACAATGACTCTTTAAATAAATGATTCCGGGGGATCTCCTGGGCACATCTGACCTACGTCTCTATTTTTGGGCACCGGTTTTACCTGGTCTTATGAGAGTGTTTAACAGTCCTGTGATCTAATTGTTGATGACAAAATAAGACATCGCTGGCTTCTGGCTTCCTTACCCTGTGCTCTTGCTTCCCTCCAGGTCAGAGAAAAGTGTTCGACCTTCCTTTTGGGAGCTGCCTCTTTTGCAGTGATGTTTATGACAATGGATCCTCTTTTCTGTATGACAACTGTACAGCATGCACCTGTAAGGTAAGACTGTTGGGAGGGGCTGCGGCATATGGATAGACATTTGGGTTTTCGGTGTCAAAGCCAAGGCCATGGAGCTTTATTGATAGGGGGTGGGGCATTACTGGTGCCATTTTAGAAGTAGAATTATGCTCGAGGTCACAGGGAAGTTCATACAGAGGTCCCACTTTAAAGTCACTGTCATCTTCTGAGGATCAACAAGTTAGCTCTTGGTGGTGAGAGCCACACTTTGAAGAGCTATCCTGAGGATTCTCTAAAGTCAGACAGACACACGTGGCAGTGTTCTCTGGCTCTAATTATCCAAAATTAATTCTGCAACATACCTGCCAATGAAAATGGCTTTAATCACATTCAAGAGAAAAAAAAGMATACATTTACAGTTCACCACAGAGATGAACCTGGCAGTTTGGAAAGAGTATTCATGTGTTGTTCATTGTACCATGTCTTACTTAAGCCTCTGCTCACTTTTCTCAAAAGGCAACTGGAAGTCTAATTCAAAGTAAAGAAAGAATTCCACAGCTTCAGAATTCCAAAGGGACACACATCACATACTCATAACCTGTTCTTTTGCAGTGTATTTTATTTGAAACCAAGAAGAGAAATATTTATCATGGAGGGCTTTAGGATCATTCATTAGTTAGTTAACACATACATCTGTGTGACACAAGTTTGAATAATATATTTTGGTGGTGAGGGCTGCTGTTGTTTTATTTTTAATAGCTAAAGAGCTAGAGATGGAAAAAAGGAGCTTTGCTAAATGTTGGTATGAGTCAATAGGTAGGATTAGAGTTTAGAAGTTCTTTTAATCAATTTTTTCTTTTTAGATATACATGACAGTTGAATGCATTTTGGCACATTATACAGACATGGAGTATAACTTATTCTAATTAGGATCCTATTCTTGAGGTGTTACATGCAGAGTTACCCTGGTTGTGTATTAAAATACAAGGACAGGAAAGTTATGTCCGATTAATTCTACTGTTCTTCCTATTTGCCTCTCCCTTCCTTCCCTTCATTCCCCTTTGTCTAATCCAATGGATTTCTTGATTACTTGAGACAGGCTTTGTTAGGTAGCATGCACCACTTCAGTGGGGTGGCTGGGTAAGGGCTGCACTCTCTGTTCTCTGACAAGGATTATAAAGAAAACCCCAAGCCTGAGAATATTTCCCTGAGATACCTTCCTTCTCCTATGATTTGCATTTTCCTATGCTAAATGTCTGGCAGCTCCTTCCATTGGGTTTGTCCCCKGAACAGCACTTTGGGTCTCATGGATTCTGTGAGAGGTAAAAGATAATATATCCCAATACACATTAAGAACTGTAATTAATACTTCTTTAAGAGCCTGGCTTATCAGAGTAGTAATTCACAGTTACCTTGAGTGTGTGGATGCTTGAAGAATCAGACTGTGATCATTGTGGGTAACTGGTATTATTTTCTGTCAGCTTAGAGAATCCCTCTCCAGCATCTTCTTCATCCAGTGCTTCTCAGATTTCCAGGGCAGGTGCAGAAAACTGTTTCATAATTATTTGAATTTAGTATGGTTTCAGATCTCCGTGCCTTACAATCTGATGATCTCTCTACCCGMGGGCCCTCACATTCTTTAAATCTGATTAGTACACTCTTCACCCACGATAGATCATCTCAGATATCATCTCTTCCGGAGAAGCGTTCCCTTATATCTCTACACTTTTACACTTTCTGTCTGGCACATTTTATTACAACTAATTTGTTTACAAGATTAACTACCCTTTTATATTCTGGGCCTCTTGAGGACAGAAATACATTCATTCATTTTTGTATTCTTATTGCTTAATCAGTGCTAGGCACATAGTACAGTGGGTGACACCACACACACACACACACACACACACACACACACACACACACTGTTGGGATATTCATAGTGATCTATGCAGGATCTGAGAGCTGGTGAATGCCCTCTTGTTCAAACTAGAAATCAAGACATGTGATTTGACAAAAAATTAATTTTTTTCAATTTATAAGTTGGCTTCTAATAATGCCTATGTGTCATTTTGCTTTTATATGTACAGTCAGCCTAAGAAGTAATCAATAGAATAGCATTTTTATTTTTAAAAAAATCAAACCATGTTCTTTTGGGTTATAGATATAAGTCAGTATCCTCCAGAGGCTAAATGGCCTGGTCAAGGTCATGTCTTTTACAGTAGAGCTCTAGAACCCAGGTCCAGTTTTGGAATTATTTATTCAGTTTCTTCATGAACATAGAACACATGTGAGCACTTTCATCTTGAGGTGGTATGTTGGCTCTGAATTTTTACTCTTTGATCAAAGATGTCTGTTTTTATGTTCAATGCTAAATGGTGACCTAAAGCCAAGGAATAGACTCAAGAAAACTCTGTTAATGCAGAATGTGAAAGAAGAAGAAGGCAAGGAGGAAGCTGGCTGGCTCTTGGTGAACAGAGCTTTCTTGCCACATACTGGCTGGAGTAAATCAGTTTCTTGAGCACAGGTGCAAACCATTGGAAGTTAGGAGTATGTGCCAAATGCTCCACAGCTCCCTCATAGTCCAGGTCAGATATTAATCAACAGGTAACATTTTGAAGTGAATTAAAGATTTATTGCAACACATTAAAAATGGTACCTACAGAATAAGTTTTAGAGGAGTTAGTTGTGGGTTGTTAAAGGAAGGCCAAGGAGGATGCTTGGTAGAGGTAAAAGTCATTTGTAATTTCTAATTTGCCTTTGGGCCCCCAGGACTCTACAGTGGTATGTAAGAAGAAGTGCTCTCCCCCTGGTAGCTGTGACAAAGCCAAGGAGGCCTGCTGTGAAGAGTGCCTTCTTCGAGTGCCCCCAGAGGATGTCAAAGTGTGCAAGTTTGGAAACAAGATTTTCCGGGTGTGTATGTCATGTGCCAACTTTATGGGAACTACTGTACTATCTTGGCTATTAAAAAGCTTCAGATATCATGCATATTGAATTATTCTATAATTTGTTTTATACATATACATACATCTGTGTATATACAGTGCATTCATTTCTATTGCACTCTCATGCATACACATATATCCACTTAGAATCAAGAGTACATAGTAGAAGAGGATCAACTGTTCAAAAAATATTTGCCTTTGGCTTCATTTTTACTGGAATATTTCAAACTCATAGTGCATTATTGCCTATGCAAAGGTGATCAGCCAGTGATTGGGGCTGAGGGGAACATGTCCCATGGATGGTGTCCTTGGGGTGTACAAATGTCTGGGAGCATCTCATTCAGCTGGGTATACTCAGGGCCCCTTGTTAAGATGATGACCCTAGTCCACACCCTGATGGATCTTCAGTCTGGTGCTTTTAGAAGTGTTTCAAAAATACTCTTTTACAAAGAGAAGTTTTCTCATCTGTAAGATATTTAGGTGAGGACACTGATGGGGTAGGTGACTAGCACTATAGTTGAGCAAAGTCAGCTGAACTCAGAGGGATGTCTGTTGGCCATTTGATACCCCCTCAGGTGTGCTTGATGTTACTTTGTGATGGCCACAAGTGAAAAGCTGTACAATGACCTTGTTGGTTTGTTCCAAGGAATTCCCATCTAGTCTGTTTTCTTCAAGGATAGAAGGCATAGCTGTACTCAAAGATGTCACTTCGTGGTRTGCATGAAAATTGAGAGCCCCAGAGTCAAGTCAGTTGTAGAAGCTCCTCAGGCATGTTGCACTGAGCCAGACTTCTACTACACTGACCTGGTTGGATGGAGAGGTCTTAGTTCTCATGGAAACTACAAGAAGACATGATGTGTCACACCCAGCAAAGGGGCATGCAGGTGTGTCATATTTATACAGATTGTCAGAATCACTCATTGTCCTCTTCACACAGTCTCCCTTGGCCTCCAGAACACCAAGATAAAATAAATTCACCATCATGATGGTGTTTTGTGCAAAATTCTTTCAAGTCATTTTGTAAAAAGGTTTTTTTTTGAAATGACTGGGGCCTGAAATAATTTACAGGGACCCCACATTCTGGAAATGTATACTTAAAGAAGTTAGAGGTGTTCTCTAAGACAGAGTCAGTCAAGCCCTTYTCATCTGAAAGGTACCAGAAGGTAGGCAGTCCTTAATATAGCTTTAAAAAGTGAGGAAGAGGAAGAAGAGGAGGCATCACCAAAGATCTGAATTTGTTTTTCTGGATCTACAAGCCCAGGAAGGAATCCTTATTTGTTTTTCCCCCCATTAGGCCTAACTCTGTAGTCTGTTTTTTTTAAACCCACAAGCATGGATACACATATCTACCTGTTCTGCTCTGACTGGGCATTTGGAAACTGAATATTATAAAATTCAATGAACTGAAGAATTTCCTCTAGTAGCTCCTTTTGTGAGCAAGGGTTTAGTCTAGGAATGTTCCAAAGTGCTACCCGACTTTTTGGCTGGAAAATACCAGCCAGGCAAGGTCAAGCTATGCTTGGATCTTGGAGTCTTTTGTCTAGGCTCTGCTTTTTCAGATGGCTCATTGATCAGGTATCAGTAGGCACTGGAGGTCATTTGAATTAACTTCCATTCTTTTCATGATCACTGTGGTCTGGAACCATGGTAAACCTGGGTATAAAGCAACCCCTGCAGACATCTCAATCAACTGCTGGTGCCTGGGATAACTTACACATTTCAATCCTATCAAAAAGAGGAAAATTAGATTTTTTTAAAAAATCACATCATGTACAAAAATTCATACTTTGTTGTCTCCTGGGTTTAAAACTACACAATACATGAGGAGCAAGTGCCAGATGCATACTTAGACATATCAGAGTTCTTTTTATATCTAGGAGGGAGTACACACACACACACACACACACACACACACACACACACACCATTCACACACGTAATGTGTGCATCCTGAAATCCCCCTAATCTTTATCTTTTTTATTTTTTAACTTTTTTTTGTTTTTTTAATTTGTCCTTTTTAGTCATGCATGACATGTATTTTGACCCTAATCTTCATCTTAAATTGTTTAAAAATAGACAGATACCACAGAGTCACTTAGTCCAGGGATGGCATTCCTGACTCAGGGTAAGACAAAGACATGCATTCCTGCTTGGAGAAATCTCATCCCATTGGCTTAGCTCCTGCAGCCTTCAGCTGATAACAGAATGCTGTGCTCTGTTGTGCAGGATGGAGAGATGTGGTCCTCTGTCAACTGCACCATCTGTGCTTGTGTGAAAGGCAAGACCGAGTGCCGCAAGAAGCAGTGCATTCCCATCAGCAGCTGCCCACAGGTATGTTTGGAATGCAGGTTGGCTTTCTCTTTACCTTAGTGTCTTGGGAATTGCCCCGTGTGTGGCACGATCTCATGCCATCTTCTGAACACAGACTCTGATCTCCCAAAGTGTTCACATTCCCCAACATTCAGATGCTACTTATAAAGCCTCCTTTTTTGCAGTTTCCACTCATAGTCTAGCCTTACATGAAAATGCCACTTGTCTGGCTCTTACCTGGGCTCTCCTACTTCTTAGTGTCTTCTCCCAGTTCTTTATGAAAACAACTTCTACTCTGGTTGAATTTGTCCCCTTGTTTTCTTTTGCTGGGTTTTTTGTTTAACATCATAACCATCTTTGCCTTTTCTTTCCTTCTCTCCCTTCTCAAATCACAGCTTTCTGCTCATAGCCAAAGGAATATGAGTTTTTAAAAATTTTTTTTTATTAATCATTCCCCAAAGGGCTTCTCCTGTCTAGCAGCAGCCCAGGCCCCTTTGCTGAGGTTTTCTCTCTCTAACCCTAACCCCCATCCTAGCCCCAGATGGAATAGCATCCTTATGGAAATATCTCTTTTCAAAAACCCATAGTCCAGTGTGTTGAATAAAGCAACCATTATCTTCTAAAGCATGAGCTTCATTAAATTCACCTCAGCTACTTAAAACCTTTCAGGGTTTTATGCATTTGGGAAAATGTCAAACCTATTCAATACCTTCCAGGGAATGAAAAAAAAAAAAACATATCCATATATTCAGGCCATGTCCTCTCTTCTCTGTTATAGACAACTTTTAATTTTATTCACATCTGTTATTATTATAAACAAAAAGTTGCTGTTTTTACTTGAGTGCCAAATGAGGCACAAAAAAACAACAGCTGTTGCCATTGCACAACTGAATGAAGGAGGGAGAGAAAAAGGAAAAAAAAAAAAACCTAATTAGTCTTGCTTTAAAAAGCCTTAGACATAAAATTGAAAACCTCCCATAAAAGAAAAAAAAAAAGGAGAGAGAGAAAGAGAGATACAATAAGTAGACTTGAACATGGTCTGCTTATAAATATTCATTAGGAAAAATGGGATCACATCATTTATGCCAGCCCTTGGGGAACCCTCATTTCTAATGAACTCTTGCAGCACATGTTAGTAATAATGGGCTTCCTTATTGTACAAGACAAAAACAGTATGCGATGCCAAGCTGGTGGCTCAAGTAACTCGCCTCAGCAGGCCGCAGTGGAGTTTTCCAGCTTCACTTGAGTTCTGCCACTTGTGTCAGGGTTGATGGTTTTCATTGTCCTCTTGCAGCAGGGAGGTCAATGCTCTTTATGTCACCAATGTCTCTTTAGCGTTCCTTCTTTGTGGACCACATTCAGGGTTGGGCACATTCAATCCTCCAAGTGAAACCCTTTCTCCAGCCCCACCCCCTCCATGTCCTCATTTGTGCTCCTGACCAGGCTCCCACCCAGGGACCCCCTTTCTGCTCCCGGGCATCTTTCCAGCGGGTCCTCTGGTTCACAATTTCCCTTCTCAGAAGCCAGCTCGAGGTCTTCAGAAGAGAGCTTATATCTACCATGGAGATCCTTTTAAAAACCTACTTTTCCTCTATGTCGCCTGGGGAAATTAAAAAAAAAAAAAAAAGAAAGCTTCTGTATTGCCTGCTCCATCCTTCTTGGCTGCCACACATGTCTTTTTCCAGTATTACGTGTATCTTGTTGAAGAAGGATTTTATGGTTGAATTCCTTGTCTGCCCTTGCTGGCAACTCCGCAAGGGCAAAGGAGTATCAAAGGCTGCAAGGTTTCAGTTGGAGGGTCACGATACTCAGCACCAGTGATATGTATTGAGACCTATTCTGTAGTCACAGGAATAGTCTCATTTAACTCCCAAGACCACTCCTCTGAGGTGGCAACTAGACCCTTCTCAAAGATGAGGCTACAGTGTGTCCAGTTTCATAGCTCATTCCATATAGTCCAGGCTTTCTGATTTCGTAGCTTTACTTGACTTATTTTCCACTGATTTAATGACATGACCACTGCTACTTGCATTTTCTGAAGAAGGGAGGTGGCAGGTCCTGCAAAGATGTAGCTGTTGAGAGTCAAGTCACATTTGGTGAGGAACTTGACTTTAAACAGCTCTTCTCCATTGGGATCCAGCACCTGACTCCATCTTGGGGACACCATTCTGTGAGCCTGGGCTGACCTCATTTGGCTTTGTCTTCAATTGCTTTTGGTCATGAAAAATTAAAGGAGAACTCCATGCCAAATGGTGATGGATAACACAACTTTGGACAGCGAGAATTTGTTGTGATGCCTCCAACTGATGGGATGGTAGAATGGGGCTGAATTTGAAGTTTCATTCAAAGTAATCATAGCCTTTAATGTACCATTTTAGGTCTAGTTAATGTAAAAAACAAAAATGAGTGAGACCTAGTTCTGGTTCTTTAATAAATTTAATAAATTTTTTAAAAAATAAATGTAATTTATCTTTAAAATACCTAAAGCTACTCTTGATGCAAATGGCCAGTAGTGAATGAGTAGGGTATGAGCTTTGTGTCTATGTGACGCACCTTGGGCAGCCTTTGTGTAGCCTCTATTTCCTTGGTTCCCTGTGAACAGGGGATAAAGTCATTTGCATTTGGAGTGGTTTCCTGAAATTTAAATGAAATAAAGTATGAGGAATGGATAGCACCCAGTCCAGTATACAGCAAATACCTGATAAATGTTAAATTTTCATAAATATTGAGAACTACAGAGGGTAAATATCTGCAATGGAAAGAATATGAGCTTTAGGGTTACCAAAATTAGGCTTAGTTTTGTATTCTACCACTGTGTTTCATAACATCAATTTTTTTCATCTATGAAAAGAGAAACAGTTCACAAGATTCTTGTACATCTTAATAATAATGATTATAAAGATCTCTAATATTCATCAAACAGTGTGTTACAGGTATTATCTCCTTAAATCCTTATAACTAACTTGATGTTAGGTAACATAAATAAAATATCTAGTATGGTGTTGGTTATATCGCAAATTCTCTCTAAATGTCAATCTCTTCTGTATTTCTTTTTCTCTGTGATTAACYACTGAGTCAGAGATAAGGCAATGCCATTCTCTGATATATTTCCTCCTTTAAATGTCATGCATTAAAAAAATGAAAAGACAGGCAATGTAGAATATTGCACTGTATTTCCAGAAAGTTAATGGAAAATTACTCAGCATTTCAGAACTCTCAGCTTCATTGACTTTGCATAACAATGACTTAAGTTGGAAAGAAGAAATCTGACTGAATTTGATCAGTGGCGCACCGGTATCCATAGGACCAATGAGTTGTRAGCTTGGATTAGTTATTGTTTGGGCTCCTCTACTAAGTGAAGACAGAAGGCCATGGATGGTCTGATGGATTGACAGACAATTCCCATTTTGATGTATATGTACTTGGTCCCCAGAGGAGTTAATTTGGATATCAGTGTAAATGTTGAGCCCAGACTGTCTCCATCTTGCCTCCATGTGAGAAAAATCACACCAGTGAGTCCTTCAGGTCTCATATTTCTTGTAGGATAAAAACACGAAAGCTTCCTGAATGACTTTGCTGGGTCTTAAAATTTGTTACTTGAAACTTCATTTTCACCAGCATCATCACCATCTGGGTATCGAGTTCAAATACAGCTTGGACTGATTTCTTTGGTTCATCTGGTATTAGATTTAAAAAAGAGATTTGTCCTCAGCAGACCCTGTTTCTTAGCACTGACCTTTTGTTTGTTTTTTTCCTGATTAGGGTAAAATTCTCAACAGAAAAGGATGCTGTCCTATTTGCACTGAAAGTAAGTTCATCTTTTTGAAAATATGCTATTAATATTTGTTTGACKTTTTATGATACAACAAGAAAAATAGTGGTGTGAGTTTTCTGCACATTTTAATTCTGTAGGTAGAGGATGGGATTATCCTCTCTCCCTACAGACACTTTAAATYAATTGTAATACTCTCACAGAAGCACAATTGAGACAAATGTGGATATTTCCATCAGAATTTGTTGCTATGAGAAATCAAGAAGATAAATKATCTGATGAGGTTTTAAAAAACACCAGATAACTTAATGCACATTTTAACTGCTAATAGCATTTGCAGTCACAGCGGCTAAGATAATGATATCCAGTAAAACCAAACATACATAATCTAGGAAGGATTTTCCTTCTCTCAGTATAAAACCAAACAGCTGCACTTGCTCTTCCTTCACCCCTACCCCCACCTCTTCACCATTTCACCTGGCTGCACACACAGTTGCTGTTGGCAAAGAGATYACAAGAGGTCATCAGGCTGACAATGGGTTTGCAGTTGTTATATTTAACTGAGTTCTTGAAGGTTCTATCTAAACATGGCCTATTCCGAAAGCTGCTGGAGACAGCACTACTGATCACAGGGACAGAGCATAGCAACAGGTGTCATGTTKKCCCCACATGTAGATATATGCCTACATCTATTAGCAAATTGCCATTTTAGTCCTCCTCAAATTCATGTGATTTTGAGATAGCTTTTGGAAGTATTTCATTGAAAGAGGGGGATTAGYAATGCCTTGTCAAATTAGTTCTGATATATGATAAGCAAGATTAACAAAGCCARAAAATCTATTAGAAAGTATTTAATGAGCCAGTTAGACTTAGAGAAGTGAACGTTCATGGCAGTTGAAACCAGTTTTCACATGGGAACCAGTTTGTTTCTTCCATTTATCTAAATATCAGTGTTTACATTGCTAAGAGTAAATTTTTTTTTTGATTGGCTAGTGCCTTTGGACAATAGATAGGCAGAGTCTTTATATATATATATATATATATATGCATACATTAATATTATATATAATTGTTATTTATTATATATCTACTATGTATATTACTATTTTTAGAAATAGCTATAAAACAATTATGTGCTGGATAAAAGTGCTGGTTGAATTAACACAAAATAAATTATAGATTTAATAAAAGAGCCTCCCTTTGAAGATAATGAAGTACATAAAATAACTCTAAGGAGGACAATGAAATA